TATTATATCTTCAAAATTCTACATCCTCACTTTGCTCGTGTCCTTAGACATCTAACTGTAGCCAAATGGACCCTAGGATAGCTGTGTTCATCCAAATCGGGTTAGCCGTTGCAATATGAAGTGTTAAATATTCAAACAAATATAAATAAAAATACATATTTGAAAAATAATCAGATAGTATACAAAACAGCCTCTTAAACCTAAATTAACATAATAATTAGGGTCTTCATAATAATAATTCACGTTGAAACGTTGATAACGACGCAAATCACGTCTGCCGCAAGCTGTAGATGCAACATAATTAAGCGTATATGGTATTCTCTTAGTATTTCTGTTATCTGATGTTAGACTAACCCCAATATTATTGTTTAATTCTAAACTAGCATTGCCCGCGGCTCCGCTCGCGTTCAGATGACCAAAAACGAAATACTTGGGTTTTACATACGAATATACACTTACAATGTAGTTTTCGTATTTTTTCTCAGAAATGAGACATTTTCCCGCGGTAAAAAGTATCCTATATGTTGACCCAGATAACCAGCTATCATCATACCAAATTTCATCAAAATCCCTCCAGTGGTTTTTCCGTGATGCGGTAACAGACAAACAGACAAAAATTCTAAAAACTATAGATTCGGCCTCTGGATCGATAATAAAGTCTATTTCAATAAGATTTTCCAAAAAATATTCAATATACAGATTCGGCTTAGTTACGATTTTATTATATGTATAGATTTTATTAATAGAGGCTACTACGTACTGCTGCAGATCGAGAGGTTAATGGATCAGAGAGCGCATTTATATTTGTGCGCATATCTGTGTACATATGCATACTTGCTGTGCCAGCGGTCGCGAGTGCGAGTCCCGCTGGGGATATTCATTTGTGTGATGAGCACGAATGTTTGTTCTCCAGTCATGGGTGTTTATATTTATAAAATGTATTTATTTTAAAGTTATATGTGTGTAGTGTATCAACTATCTGATATCCATAACGCAAGTCTCGTAGCTTATAATGGAACTAGATGGTGCTGTGTGTTAATGTCCCAATATATTTATTTATTTATATACTACATATCTCCTGCAGTCGGCTAATCTCAGTTTGTAAAGTCATTGGCTGCGGTAGTCGAAATCAGTCAGGAGGGCATTATTAGTATTTATATTTATTTAATTAGGATCACCAATGATATACAGTAACTTAACAAAAATACACAATTATACAAAGGAGGTCTAAATCCAACTGTTACCATACTTATAGATAACCACGACAAGCATAAACAATTACACGAAGCATTTAAAAAATTAAAAATAAACAGCACTATAAATTATAAACAAAAAAAATTAAAGACACTTATAACAAAAGAAGATATAGGTAAGATAAGCAGCAAAAGAAGGAAGAAAAAAAAATCATAAGAAACAAAAAACAAATTAGCAATACAATAGATACAAGTTAAAAACTATCACCATAAGTAACTCTTATTACGTATTGAAATACGTAAATTTGATCGGTACGTTCTATTACTGCCTGGACCGAACTGCACCTTCCAAAACGCGAGTTTAGACAACATAATAGATATATTTTTATATGATCGAACCTTTTCAAAATTAGTTTTTTGGAAAAATATATTGTATGGACGTATTGACGGATTTTAATGCAATTTTTATTGTGACAATAATAGTTTGAGTTAACCTGTTTGAATATAAATTGGTTTTATTTTATCATTTTTTCATTCTACGAAAGGAATCAGATATAGAGTTTGAAGTGGGGCTGAAATTTGAAATTTATTGTTCTGCAGTGCTTAAGTTTTGTTCAAAAATTGCCAGTGTGTACATAGGTTTAAAAATTAAGAGTTATAATTGTCAAATTTGTGATATAAATGTGTGATTTGTGAAAAAACTTTTTTTATTTTCCCTGACTGTCTCTCTAATATTTAGTAGAAGATTTAGACTATATCGAAGCTATTAATGAATAAAGCCACATGTAGTAACTATACACATTCCATAGATAGTATAATATTTACATTATAGAGATTTCAAAGTGTTTTTTTATAAAAAATATACAAAAATAATCCAATTAAAATTCGAATTTGTTGACAATGCATATCAAAAAAAAACTTTATACATACCAAATAAAAAAAAAAATGTGTTACATAATTGCTAACTAGGTATCAAACCCGTAGCAGCACTCAAGTTGCCGCGTAGAGGCACTCTACCTCAAAATATTTTGTATCATTTGTTAGAAGGCATCACTAGTACACGGTCAGGATACGATGGTTATTGGCGCAACGTGATTTAGCGTAAACTTAATTCGATTTGTACGTGCTTGTAATGAAATTCTCTTGGAATGCTTGGTACATATGACGTGCCTTTAGGTCACATTTGTATATAAATAACATGTTATGTATGTTATTTAGCTATAACTTTAAATTATACTCCACTAAACTATTTCATGTAATGAAATGATAATCTCTTCTGGACCTAAAAACACGCCAATTCGTTGCTTTGTTAAGAATTTATTTTAAGAAAAAAAAACCTCAAGGAATTTTTAAAGTTGAATAAATTAAATGGTATATTTTTTTTGCTTAAACGACTTTAATTAAACTATACATGGCGTTTATCCGCGAATTGTCGAAATCTTTTGTGTTTTTTAATTTACTAAAATATGTTTAGTATAGATTTTTCATAGATGAGATATTTTCCCGCAGTAAAAAGTATCCTACATGTTGGACCCGTATAACCAGCTATCATCATACCAAATTTAATAAATATCCGTCCAGTGGGTTTCTTGTGATGCGTTCCCAGACAGACAGAGAGGCAGACAGACAGACAGAAATTCTAAAAACTATAGATTCGGCCTCTGTATCATATAATATTTAATGTACAGATTCGACTCAGAATTTTATTATATGTATAGATATAGAATATAAAGCGCCATTTATATTTTAAACAATAGGTACATTTGGTAAAAGATTAATGAAATTAGGGAAATTTAATTTAAAAAAGCACTATTTAATTTTTATAACAATATTTAGTTTTGATGAGACTATTGTGTTGAAATGTCACCTTAATTGTTAGTACATATTCTGCAGCTAGGGAACTATAGCTTAGAAGGCGTTTTCGACGAAAATCAAAGAATAGAAAACCTAGCGTTAGGTTTGATGACGTTCTAAAACAAGAATGTTTTCCATACTATCAGTTTGCTAGCATGGAAGAATATCTATCTTATTTTTGAATTTATACTTCTTTTGGCACGTTTGAAAAAAATATGAGAGTAAAATTTTTACAATGCGCGAACACCGACAGCCAAAAAGCGACATGATGAAGTTAGCTGCATCCCTTTTACAAACAGAGGTTTGTGACATACGGGATGAAATCTTTAGCTATTTTTGTTCTCTTACGCCAAAGAAGTATAACTTCTTACGTGTGTACATAAGTACACACACACTTTTTTTTAAATACTAATGTTCGCCCAGCTGTCGAAATTCGACCACAATGATTATTATTGAATATTTGATGAAAGCACATCCTATGAATAGAATTTACCTTCCCACATAAAAAACTGTTTGTAAATAAGTACACACAATTTTTTTTCTGTATATTTTTTTTATTATTACTAGGTGGTTTTAATTTACTTCAATAGGTTGTGAATATAGATATGTCTAAGCTTAATTCAGTTTTATAAAAACTATTAGTAATTAATGACTTTAAAATTTTCAGTACATGTATTTTTATACGTCCAAGCAAGCAATGAAATACGTATCAAACGTACAAAACGAATAAAAATAACAAAAGTGAGTTCGAATAGGAAATAAAAATAAATAAAATTAAAACTAATATAAAGCACACGCCAATACATTTTCGTCTATAAAGCGACTCTCGACAAAGTCCGCCTTGAAATGGTTACAGTGAAATTTTATATTTGAAAACGTAAGGCAAAATTGTTGGATACTGATTCTGTTCGGTTTTAAACGCGGTATAAATTTTTTTGACTCGACGTCACAGATCCTCTGCTTACTTTAAAAATCACAAATGGCAAATATCTACACAGTCGTTCAATAAATTAAATATTTTATTTAAACTTTCCGAAAAGGCTATTGCGGGAATTTTGTTTGTGAAATGTTTATTTCTAAGGATGTTTTTTACTTCGTAGGATTACAATAAAGTTAAATGAGGGCCAGTGTTGTAAGACCTCTTAGTCCCCTGCAGGGTTAGATTTGAAAAAAAAACGCCGAAATATATATTATTAATAAGTTCAAAACTTTTATTTACTTACATAAAAAGTTGGAAAAGTGTTGTTTTCCATACAAAGGAGTAGAATTTGAATAAACTCTTTCTTAGCGCTTAGATAAATATTCGTAAATCATTACAGAAATTCATAGGTTGTTAAAATTTTAATTTTATCAGGGTTGGCTTGGTCTGGGCAAGCAGAATGTATACTAATATAGTATATGTAGTATTATAATTGATCTGTACTAATATAGAGAAGGAGAAAAGATAAAAAAATATATATTTTGAAAAGCATGAGTACTGAGAAATCTTTTATTGTTTAAGAATATAGTGATAGACATAACTTAAATTTAGATAGATAATGGATGTTTCTTATTCAATCACGTCAGAACGACTTAACGGAACTGGATGACATTTTGCAAAGAGATTGATTATAATCTGGAGTAGTACATAGGCTATTTTTTCTCCCACAAAAATGTACGGTTCCCGTGGGATAGATTAGTTTTCGGGTTTCTAACGGATAAATAAACGGATTCTAGTTAATTATAAAAACATCAATATCAATATGTGCCATGTGCAATAATTGCAACTCCTAATCAATAAGTCACTAATCAGACTACTGTGCCAGAGCAATCTTCAACAGTTTATGTATATTTTTATTACAGATTACGTACATATGTGCCTTTCTTTACGATTAGTTGTAGAGACGTTAAAACAAATAAATTCATTTTCTTATTAAATTCGTAAAGAATATCTTATGTATTCTTATATGTCTAGATATTTCTGTATTTATTTATACAAAAGCGCATAGCTCTCGATGCCAGCAGCAGCAGCTCGAGCATTGTGAGGATGCTGCAGCCAAAGAAGACGTTAAACACTCCACCCAATTGCGCTGGAAATTATAAAAAAAAATTAAGTGGAAATTTAAAATATGCAACGATATACTAATATGCATAAATATAATAAATATATGTTTCTTTTAAAGTATCTTAATTCCATGTTAGCTTTTTCTGCGGTTTGATTATCTATTTTTATTTAATTTAAAACCACTTAACATTAGTTTCAGGTTTAAGCTGTATATTTCAATTTAGTTCAATAAAAATGGAAATCTATACTTAATATTAATAAAAAATGCCTTTCTTCTGCGCAAAACCCAGACTGAAATAAACCTTAAAAATAAATCTGACCGTCTATCTGTCAGCTAGTATTATAATTAAGTTATATTTATCTATATACAAAGCTTGTTGCACGCGTATTTACAGAATATCCTTCTGACCGATTTCGGCCACGGCGGCTATCTCACTTAGACTAGCCATGTGCTGGTGCGAGGACAGGAGTTATTATAGCGCATAAGTGTTTACTTAAACACTAACGCACTATCTATTAGGCGGTCAAAAAAAAAAGTATCCATTGGTCTAAAAAGTTTATTTAAGTATAGTATGAATGTAAGTATGTTTCTTATGGATTCTAAAAAGGCTGGAGCGATTTTTCTGAAATTTTCAGGCAATCTTCAGATTAGCCCAGCGGGTGACCCTGTGAAGTTTGGTTGCGTTCAGAAGTTTGAAGACAGACGACGCCACGGGTGCTGCTAGTAGTATATCTATAGTATATATATAGTATTCCTTAACGACTGACAGTAAACTGGTTCACATAATACTTTCATTAGATTTACGCCAATATTTGACATTTTAAATAAAACTATATTTTCGGATTATTTCGCGGATTTATTTTGATTTTTGGTTCCCGACGTTTCGAATGCTTTACAGCAATCATGGTCACGGGAGAGAGAGACTCAGTCTCTGATAGTAAAGTTGTATTATTTGTAAAGCTAGCATAAAATAAAAGTGAAGCACACTTACAAAATAAGTTAAAACAATTGAAGTACGATCTCCGTTGTAATATCTTCTTGTTACGCTTCTCTACAAACACTCGGACGGTACTGACCTGCTCTAAGTCTAAATCTTCACTGAAACGATATTTTATATTATGTAACTTTATCTCTTGTACTTTATACAATTCGTTCTTTTTAAGCTTAAGTTGTATAAAATAGTTGAATTCTGAAAATATATTTTTATATTTCACAAAGAAGAAAGAAAATAGATTAATATGTGGAATAGGAACTTTCTTAAAAGTAAAGATTTATTCTAGTTATTTTAGTTTTAATTATCTATACTAATAGTATAAAGAGAAAATATATTTTGTTTGTTTGTACCGAATAAGCACCGAAACTACTGGACTGATTTAGATGAAATTTAGTAAAAAGACAGTTTAAGACTCTGGGAAGGATATAAAATAGTTTTTTATACCGGAAATCATCCCTTAAAGGGGTGAAAATGAGGATAAGAGTTTGTAGGGAGAACCAACCTAGTTAGTCTATAATATTATTATTTTTTTTAGTCTATAATATATTAAAAGGCCTATTTTTTTCTTTGGTAGGTTTTGACGACGCTTTAGTGTAATATTGTAAATGTGAAAGTGTGTTTGTTTGTTTTTTGTTTGTTTGTTTGTTTGTTTGTTTGTTTGTTTGTTTGTCCTTCTTTCACGTCAAAATGAAGTGACCGATACTTGGAGGGCTGGAGAGTGACATAGGCTACTTTTTACTGCGGGAAATTATCTAATTCCCACGGGGAAACACGTTATGACACAATCCAAAAAAATGTTTATGATCAGAACTACTTGAAACTTGGTATTTAATGCTCTTCAATAAAATTAAATAAATACGTGTTTTAGCATTTTTCGAAAGTCATCCTATAAGGGGGTAAAACAGGGAATGAAAGTTTGTATGAAACTACCTTTTTAAAGTTTTTTATTGTAGTTTTAGCGCGAGCGAAGCCTCGGGTTCTACTAGTCTACTATAAAATAGTAGTGTAGAAATATACGTCGTTGAATTTCGATCACTGGTCCAATAATAGTTCTAATAATAATAATTTTATCTCCCAAATGTCCATAATTTATATATTACGATTTTCCATACAAATTTTTCTTCTTTAAAGTTAACTATTGAAATTTAAACATAGCAGCCTATATCTTTGATCTGTCTTCAATATTTAGTCTTAATGGTGAATATAATAATCATACATTTATTTTCATTTCAGATTTTAGAAATTTAAACACATTATAAGATTGGTGTGAATTCCTATCTCATGAAATTCCACAAACGTCAACATTGGTTTTAGATATAAGGAAATAGTTAAATTATTGAATTATATTATTGAACACTCGGGTGATACTAATTAAAACCACTGTATAAAGGAAAATGCGTTTTTTTTTGTAAATTTATGTGTTTTATTAATTAAATTATTTTACTTACTAAAACCTGTCGTAGGTATGCGAATTGGCCATTAATTGATAAGTTGACAACAAAGAATCGTCTTTCTCAACGTTGCATGTCGGCGGACAATTGCACTCGTTCATTGCAAAGGAGACTAGAAAAAAGTTTATCACTTGTATTTTTCCATTAAATCATTCAACAACGTATTATTGTCTAACGTTGAATATCAAATCCATGAAGAATATAAACATGGAGTCCAATATTTATAAGGTTTCATAAGAGAAATCCGGGCGCAAATTTTTTTAGAGCTATAGTCCCAGAAACTGTCACAAATCGCGCTGATTTACGTATTTATCGGGTGAATTTAGCTGTTTGTCAGTGGCGCAATCGTTTCTTGTTGCTGTGATAAAGAAATAAATCATTAAAAAAAATATGAATTATATTAAAAAATGACATTTTGTTTTACCTTCCTTATCATTCATTTGAATATAACGGAAATTTCCCCCTCCCTCTTAGGACATAGCGACCGTAGCGCTCTCTGCGCGTCCACTATTATTTTTTCAAACTTTTGGGACAATTTTTACATAAAGAGATTGGACTCCTTGTCTATATTCTTCATGATCGATCAATTCGTTTTTCTTACTAAAGACAACCGTAAGACGACTGGAAAGTAATCTTATTACTCTTACGCCTAGTTATTGCGGCACTTTTTATTGGTAACACACATGAACAAATAACACGCTTCTTACTCTACCTCATGGTGGTATATACAAACAAACAGACAAAAATTTTAATAATTATTGTTTTGGTCTTTAATCTGTACGTCACAGTGATCGTTTTTTAAAAAATGCTTCATGTACAGATTCTGTTAAGTTACTATTTTATTATTTAAGGAATAAATCTATCATGGGAGAGTTTATACGTTGTATTAAATTTCGCAATTTCCGGTTAAATAAACTTAGATGAATATTTTAATGAACAATATAAACAAGTCGTATTTGAATATGTTCTAATACTCTACGTTGGATAGAAAACACAAAAAATATATTACCGCACATTACAATATACATATAGTAATTGGGCGACCGAGCTTCGCTTGGCGTTTTTCAGAAATTAATGATAAATTGCCTTTTCTCACGAACGACTTAAAAAACAAAGCCTGGACCAGTTTCTGAGATACATGAAATAATTAGATATATATACAGGAATTGCTCATTTAATATTATAAGATTAGTATTTGTGTTGTATTATAACTAATTAACCTAAAACATAATTTTCTAAGTCAATAGTTACGGGACGCCCTTTTGTTATAGCTCATTAAGTATTATATTCTATCTTTGTCATTTATATAAATTTAGACAGAAATAGCATATATCGCTGTCTGATATAATGTTAACCCACTTAAGATTTCTTTACCGAAGTTAAATGTCAGTTAAAGATCTGGTAAAATACCATGTCTGCTTAAAGTAGAGTTAAAGATATTATTCTGTTTCAATGACTAGTGCGTCCTATCGAAGATGGTCATATAAATTCAAAAGGAAAACATGCTACAACGAAATAATTTCTATTAGTATAAGTTAAAAATAAATATAATTACTATAAGTTAAAAAAATAATATGCAAGTACCTGAGGCACGCTTAGCGCAATCTAAGCGGTTAGCTCTGCAGAGTGGAACTCCTCGTATGTTCGGGTGCACCACTTTCAAGCACTGACACTGCTTCATGGTACGTCGCATCTCGCATTCCAGTAAGCAATATGACCTACGTATTTTAATATTAATAATAATTAGATATTTTTATTTGGCTCATGCACACACACGCACACACACACATACACACACACACACACACACACACACACACACACACACACACACACACACACACACACACACACACACACACAAATATAAATACAAACAATGAATCAACCGATATTTACCATGTCAGAAACTCTTGCATGCTACTCATGACGTTTGATGATAAATTCTAATATAATTAAATTCAAATAAAAAAGAAACTTAGTTGTAGAATTTAATTTCTCATTAGTATTTGAACATGCTGGCGTATAAATCATTCACTTGAGAGCTGTTTTATATCTTTTGAGTTTAGATGAGAGAATAAAATAATACTTATGATATAATGGGAAGTATTGAAGAGGCTCGTGAGCCATGCGACATTTTCTTTGGTCTGCACTGAGGCTCACAGCATCGTCGGACACCTGCATCACAAGCGTGCTGTAGCCTACCCAGAACTCTTCTCCTGGAGATATAGGAGTGCCATTCACTGTTATATCAACATAGTGCTGACCTGTAGCGATAGCAACCTGAAAAAATCACATTCTTATAAGTAAGAGTTTTAAATAAAACAATGTTTTCGGATTATTTCGCGGATTTATTTTGATTTTCGGTTCCCGACGTTTCGAGTGCTTCACAGCAGTCATGGTCACGGAAGAGACTAAGGTTATAGACGTCTCAAAGGCATTATACACTTGTTACACACAATGCCTACCTACTATTATACAAAAATGATTTTAAAAATTCAAAAATGATACCTTAAAAAAGGAGGAATCCTTAAAAAAATCTTATCCTACTAATATTATAAATATGACAGTTTGTAAGGATGTATAGGTGTCTGGATGTATAGATGTATGGATGTTTGTTACTCTTTGACGCAAAAACTACTGAATTATTTATTGAAATTGTTTTATGATAGCTCATACATCAGAATAACACATAGGGTACTTTTTATACCGGAAAAATGAACGTTTCCCGTGGGATAGATTTGTTTTTGTTTTTCTAGAGGGGAACTCGAGCGAAGCGAGGTGAGCCGCTAGTTAATATGAATAGGTTAATAGGTAAGTAATAAAGTACACTTTGTGGTAACTAAGGACTAATATAATAATGTTTTAAAAAATCAAAGTTCATAAACAAGCTTTTATAACATCGCCAGAAGAGCTTTTAACGAACAATAACTTAATGAATAAAATTTCAAGCATCACTTCATTCGCAAACTGCTTTTATATATTCGATGTTTGCTATTTTGGGGTAATTGATTATGTATAAAGTATATTCTACATTACCTTTTATATTGTATTCTAGCCTTTTACCTAATAAAGGTTATGGTTACAGGGAAAAATCTATTTCTATAAGTTTACTTTTGTACTGGAAAAAAATTGTAATACTTCTGTATAATTTTAATATATTATGTTAGTTTCCATTATTTCAAATAATAAATTTAAACAGAAAGTTAAAGGTTTAAAATCAAAGAGTTAAAAGCTTTTTATAATAATTTTGAAGTATACAACAATGAGCGCGTACAACAAAATTTAAATGCTTATTTAAATAAAATATTTGATTTATCTTGACTTTCTTATATTTCCATTTATCCAAGTTTATTTTAAAACGTATTGAATAATTAATACAATATTCAGATACAGAAAAGAGCTTTTACCAATACTTGAAAATAGAATTTTAAAAAGTCTCTCTGTGATTATCTTGTAACTCTAATCTAATATTGCGTTTACATAAAAGTAAAGATCCAACGAATATTTAATCTTGACGTCTTAATTGACTGTATATTTGTCTTTGCTTGTCTCCGAAATGGATCCGTTTTTTCCAATTATACTTAATGATATTCTAACTGTAACATAATTTAATTTTTATACTATACTAGCATTTTATTTATATTTATAATAGGAATGTATTTAAAGTTATAAGACATGTATGTGTAATGTATCAACTATCTGGTATCCATAACACAGGTCTCGTAGCTTACCATGGAACAAGATGGTGCTGTGTGTTAATGTCCCAACATATTTATATATTGTATATTAGGGACACAAACAGGCATGACTATGTATATGCGTGGCATTTGTGTGCATACCATGTAGAATGTAATACCTTCAACTTTTAGAATTGCGATATCTTCGGGATTGTGATTGTTAGGAAATAAATATTAAGGTTAATTTTGTAGATAATTTTACGATCTACAAAATGCTGTAATAATGATAAAACTTACAGTTTTCGATAAAAATCCAAAAAGCTTAAAATTTGGCCTTTCACCTTGAATAACTTTTTAAGCACACATGGGATCGATGGGGACTTTTGGCACTTTATTTCTACTGGTATACCGAAGGTCTCTACCAAAATTCAGCTCTATCAGAGTTTTGCTTGATCACTATTTTTCTGTCTAATTTGAGTGGACTATGGCTAGTCTCAGTGAAATTGGCCGCCGTGGCCGAAATCAGTCAGATGGACATTTTTATAACAGATAAAGATTATAATCATTACTTATGCTTTTGTAGCGATAGCGATGAGCTCTAATGAAATACAAATAAATGCATACTAAGGATGGATATGTTATACTTACCCATTTATAAAGAAGATCAATGTTAGCCAAATCTACTTCCTTTTGGTTCACTGCTATAGTCAAGCCGTTGTTGAAACCTAACCTGTCCACGTACACACCCTTATTTTGGACATGGATTGTATTTTCTCTCATTTCCCTATAACAAATCATATCATAAGCACAGTACTAGACCATATATGCCAAAGCTTGCCATGTGTTTGAAAACTGGTGTTTAGCACAAAATACAAAAAGGTTAATTGTTCATATAAAAACAAAATAGTTTTCTAAATTATATAATATATAACATTATATATATATATATATATATATATATATATATATATATATATATATATATATATATATATATATAATGTACAATGTTATATTGTATAAAATAAAACCTTTTTAAAGAGCGTCCGTTAAAAACGCAGCAGTAGCCAGCGTGCGTGATCTCCATTCGAAACAGTGAGGAACAATTCACAATGTCTTGAAGCCATTTACATCTGCAAAATGTTATATTTTAATTTTGGACTAAATAGTAAAATAATATTTTGTGTATTTTGCATTAAATTCATATAATAATAGAACATAATTTGTTTTCAGCACTGTTTTTTGTCTGCAGTTTTGTACTTATACATAATATGATAACATGCAATTACTCAAAAGATAATTATATTTAACCAATATGGTTTGATGGCTTCCTACATTTACATATAAATCTATACATATAAATAAAATGAAAATGATACTATATTATAATAGATAAAAACTATAGCAGTTACCTTAAAAGAGTTTCTTCACAAGAAGGCGTAAGAAGTAAGCCGGCGTGGTGAATATCTAAATTGTTAAAGTCAAGCAATTCTTGAACTTTTTCCAAATCTTCTTGATTAAATACCACATCAGGGGAGACGAATGCTGAGAATTGTTGGAGAACACCTTTGATGTAGGAAACGTTTAGTGACGGTGGAAAATTTCTAAAAATATTAAAGAATATTTTTTTTATCATATATTTTATTATATATAATAGTTTTTATTTTTATAATAGTTTTTTATTTTTTAATAATACTATATATATATTATATATATATATATATATATATATGTGTAAGCTTATGTAAGGTAATGCGTTACATTATATGCCAATTTAAAACAAATTTTCATATGTACCTAATCGCAATTCTATCAATGCTTACATTTTACTAATGAATTTATCAATCTTGTGTCCAGGATAGCTGACTTCCGGGCATATTAACACTGTAGGAAACTGTATCGAAGTGTCTATTGATTCATTCTTAGCTATAAACGTTGGATCGCTGAAGAATCGTTGAATGGTCTCATACACAACTGTCACCGCAGCGATAAAGAGCATTGCTAATGATAGCGTCCAGTAGAATCTAGAAATTAAAGAATAATAATTAAGTATACAAGTATTACTAATATAGTAATAAATTAAATTTAACAGTTTAAATATCGAAGTTAGCTGTAAAACTATTGATTTGATTTTCAATATGCTTTTAATAAAGGATACGTATTGTATCCCATCCCTAAGTGCTCTTGAATCCCTGTGTATCTAGGAGCACCTGTAAGAAAATGTAGTACGTTGTTAAATTTAATTACGCACAGGGTAAAGTGCGGGCCTGAGTGAATCGAGTGTGTAATATTATGCTATTATTGGACATATCAGTGTATCTGTTTTAGTAAGAATACAATTTTATTATAAACCTATAAACCTATAACCATATATTAAGTGTCGTGACAACTGTCCAAAATTAATGTTTGAAATCTGCTGATTTATATGCGGCTGGTGTTTCAAATCCTATTTTCGCTTGGATAAGTTTATAGATTTTTCAGAGAATTGTCTAGATCAATTAAGGATCAAGTGAAAAAATACTTTACCTGAAGTGAGAATCTGTAAGTCTTTTAGCGCCATGAAATTGGGCTTCATTAAGCATTTGTTTAAATTTCATCTCTATACCACAAATGCAACAGCTCTCTATGACCACTGAACGATTATTTACTCACGCTGAACAGCAATCTACCATCTAAAATCAAATAAATCATAGCACATCAAATCAAAAACGCCATAAATAATAATTTAGTTTGGAAACTAATAAATTTTGTTTTCTGAATAATTTATAACATTTGATGACCCGGTTAGAATATTATAGATATGTCCTTTGTAGGATTCCTCCATTTTCCTTGTTTATTCGCATATTCTTGTCAGTCAAAATACTTTTGTTCGAATCATTAAATTTATCTAAAAAAACATAAATGTGAAAAGAGGACCAAGTTTGGTGCAAATGACATTCGGGGTTATCGACGTCGCTCATAAAACAAATGAGACCTGAGCAAGTGCCAAGTTCCAGAGCAGTTACTTAAGTCATAGGTATAGGAATATATTTTAATTTTTATATCAATGTATATTTTTGGATGTTAGTTTCTGGTAGGCAAAATCTACAGTCTCGGACTTTTCTACTTATAAAATAAAAATTTAGACTAAGCAAAAATTGACATCAAAATAATTCCAAACAGGTGATAAATTATTATGAAAAATTAAATGTGAGCATCCTCGAAGTATAACGTATCCAATAAAAATAAACTGAAAATATATCACATTAACTAAAATTTTGCGCAATTTACGTACAATACACTTAAATTGAGAAGTTTTTTCTAAGTGCTTTGACTTGCTAAGGTTTTCTATAATTGAATTTTTTATTTGTTCTTGGTCAGCATACACAGGAGTTAGTTTTATCTAGTATAGTATTAGGTATATGATCTGTGTTACTTATGACTTTTATATTGGTTATAGCACTCGTGTTTTCAAAACGTGTCTAACGAAGTATGATCCATCAAAATCGTTAAAGCCGTTTAGCAGTTACGAGAGAACATATGACATTAAATACATACAGGTCAAGCCTTTAGGCTTTGCAGCAATCGAGTAAAATGTAAGCTATCTCCTCTTCGGTCACAATATACAAACAATAATAATATTAGCAGTACTTTGTACGGTTTTAGCAATAAAAATCTCAGTTTCATTCAGAACCCCACTTTAAATATTATATTTTCTATTTAAGACCAATTTTTTTGTTTTTGTTTATCATTTCTATAAATTAATAAATCACTCTGTATCAAAATGACAACCGTTCACTATTTTACAATATATTTTGATCAAACGTGAAATTACTTTTCAATTTTTTACATTATTTAATATTAATATGTTCATAGGTATTTAGTATAAACGCACTATTTATTATTTATAGGGGTAATATTACTTTCTGTTTTAACCTATTTTAAAAAATAGCTAGGTTGATTCAAAAGTATTTTTTTGTGTACATTTTACGAGATATATACCTGTATCCAACTATTGTAAGAATATATTAATTAATTATTCTTTATATTATGAATAGGCTACCAAGGGTAGTATATAAATTATAAGGAAAAATGAAAAGAGTAATAACTTTCGTTTATTTTAGTTATAAAATATTTGTTTACTACTTCCCTCTTTTACTTCCTGTTATATTGCTTCCATACAAATATTTAGTACTTCAGGACTATAATAATATATAGAACTAGCGACTCACCCTCGCTCCGCTCAGGTTTGTCCCTAGTTTCGTTTCAACGTTTAGTATTGATTTCTCAGAGATGAGATATTTTCCCGTAGTAAAAAATATTCTATATGTTGACCCCGATAACCAGCTATCTTCTTCTTCCTGCCCATTTCCCAAGTTACTTGGGGTCGGCGCAATAAGTCACTGCTTATTCGGATAACCAGCTATCACCATACCAAATTTCATCAAAATCTGTCCAGTGGTTTTCTCGTAGTGCGTTCCCAAACAGGCAGACAAGCAGGCAAAAATTCTAAAAACTGTAGATTCGACCAATATCGATAATAATTACTGTTTCAATAAGATTTTCCAAAAAATATGTAATGTACTGATTCTCACTCTCAGAATTTCTCTCAGAATTTTATTATATGTATTTGTATAGAATACATATTTTTTTCTTTCATATATATATTTTTCTTTCATTTTATTTTTAAATTTTAGTTTTATTAATTCGTTTTGTCAGATTTAGTTACACCTATTAACTTTAAGTAATGCATAATATCAATACTATAGTGCATGCTGTATTCTCCAATAATTGGAAGTACATTTTAAACACTGTCCAAAGAGCTTGTATTTTTTGTATTTTTATATGTACTTCTGTTAGAGATCCTTAATAAATAAATAAATACATGAAGACAACACATACTTATATTATGAGCCAGATGGTAACATGTTAAGAAATAATATGCGTAAAGCCACAATCAAAAGCCAGTCACTAATAAGTTAATTTAGTAACTAAATAATGTTATTTAATTATAGCGACAATCAGAGCGTTTGGAGTAATTAGACTGCGCTCTAATGTCTTAATTACTATGTCATTTCAAATGTATTGAATGTAGCGGTTTGGTAATCAAAATGAATATTACTGAGCAATTTATGTATTATCATACAGTGGTTTGAATTTATTTGGCTTATGGCTTATACTAGCGAGTCACCCTCGTTTTGCTCGGGTTCGTCCTAGATACGTTTTAACGGTTAGTATGAAATACAAATATTTGAATTTCTCGGCTTTTCTGTACTATAATATGCATGTATTATACATATAAACCTTCCTCTTGAATCACTCTATCAATTGCTGAAACCTGCGTTAAAATCCGTTGAGTAGTTTAAAAGATATACACGAACAGACAGCGGAAGTGACTTCATTTTATACTATGTAAAGATATTTAAAGAAATTCTGGTTAAATAACTGAGAAGAAACGTAGGAAGTGTATAGACTATAGAGATAGCACGTAGCGATTGCCACTTTGATCACTCCGCAAGGAATATAAAACCGCGTGAAACTGAAGTGAATGCACGAATATATACTGTGTTATGTTTAATTAAAATAATTTTTTTTTAATTTTAGTAATATTATCTGATTTTGAATGGAAATATTCGTCTTGTGGTAATTGAAAAAAGAAGAAATTTACTACTTAATAAGAAAAATTATTAAAATTGGTCTATCCGTTTAAGAACCATACACCCGAATCGAGTAGCTCTTACATTTTTGAAATCCGTAATAAAATGAGCTTTTCTGCTTCCGCTCTTTAACCATTCATACGATAGCGATAAAACTACAGATTTTAGATAGAGTTCTTCACATGTCTTTAAAGTTTCTGTTTTTGTAGCATCAAGATATGGACTATTGAGCTTTTAGATGGTTTTGGAGTTAATAGTCTGAATGTTTTAGAAAAAACCTGCAAGTCATTTAGTGTATAATATTTATTATCGTCTATATATATATAACTAGCATTGCCCGCGGCTCCGCCCGCGTTCAGATGATCAAAACCAAATTCTTAGGTTTTACATATTAGTATACTCTTACAATGCAGTTTTTGTATTTTTTCTCAGAAATGAGATATTTTCCTGCGCTAAAAAGTATCATATACCTGACCCGGATAACCAGCTACCATCATACCAAATTTCATCAAAATCTGTCCAGTGGTTTTCTCGTGATGCGGTAACAGACAGACAGAAAGACAGACAGACAGAGACAAAAATTCTAAGAACTATAGATTTGGATTCTGTGTCGATAATAATGTCTATTTCAATTAGATTTCCCAAAAAATATTTAATGTAGAGATTCGACTTAGTTAGAATTTTATTATATGTATAGATATATTTCTGTATCACTTTACAGGTGACAGAGCCAGGTCGGGTTGCTAGTTTACGCAAACATAACTTAGAAGATCATAACATAATGTGCGACATAATAAATTAACATGAACATATAACCATTACACTACTAGAACATTTCAAATAAAACGAGAATATGTACTTAAGTGTTCGCAATATATCTCTTGAATAAGTGTCCAATTGCCGCGAACACTACGAATGCATACGCGAAATTGTACCAACTGCATTATTACATTCTCGCCGAATGTTTCCCACTTCTGTCGTTTCTGCGGCTTCGAGTGTAAAGATTTTTGTTCACTGGTGACTTTTACCTTGCAATTTTATTGTACTTTTCAGGCAACGTCGGTTATCATTAAATTTATTTTTATATTTCTTTGCCAAGTTGTTTCCTATACAAAATTTCATCCCCACTTTCACCTCCTTAAGAGATCATTTCAGGAATAGAAACTATCGAATGTTATTCCCAGGGGCTCAAACTATCTTCTTAAGAAATTTCACCTAAATCGGTACAGTAGTTTCGGAGCCTATTCAGTACAAATAAACAAACATAAAATCAAATCCATCCTCTTTATAATATTAGTATAGATATAATAAAGATTAAGGAGAGCTTAAGCGATTTATATAATATGTTTTTATCGCCCTAATAAACGTACGCCAAAGTTAAAGGCACAACAAAAGCTATTTAAAGTATGTAATAATCTCTAAAAACATGTGTGTAAAAGTGTTTTATATAATTTATACATATAATAAAACTGTAGAGGTCGAATGTCTGTACATAGAAAAAAGGCAAAAAACTGAGTCAGGGGAATGTAAGAAGAGAAACAGATAAAAGCCAGTTTTTTTCATTTCTTTTGTTTTTCTGTTTGTCTGTTTGTACGGGCTTATCTCCGAAATTGTTAGATCGATTTAAATGAAATTTTGCGTGGTTGTACCTTATATCCCCGCTCAATATTTTAGGTACTTTTTATTCTGGAAAATTAAAGAGTTCCCGAGGGATAGTTAAAAAACTATAGTAACTTATACAACTTAGTACACAAAAACTACTGATTGAATTTTAATGAAACTTTACAATAATATAGTTCATACATCAGAATAACAAATAGGCTACTTTTTATCCCAGAAAAATGTACGGTTCTCGTGGGATAGATTTGTTTTTGTTTGTCTAGAGGCGAACACGAGCGAAGCGAGGGTGAGCTGTTAGTAATATATAAAGTCACCAGTGTCCGTCC